AGAAAGAAAGAAAGAAAGAAAGAAAGAAAGAAAGAAAGAAAGAAAGAAAGAAAGAAAGAAAGAAAGAAGGAAAATACCTCCATAAGATCCAGCTGTATGTAGGGCATTTTCTCAATTAGTGATTGATGGGGGAGGACACAGCCCATTGTAGGTGACGCTATCCTGGGTTGTGGACCTGGGTTCTTTAAGAAAGCAGGATGAGCAAGCCCTCTTGAGCAAGCCAGTAAACAGCAGTCCTTGGCTGGGGATTTAGCTCAGTGGTAGAGTGCTTGCCTGGCAAGCACAAGGCCCTGGGTTCGTTCCTCAGCTCCAAAAAAAACAAAACAAACAAACAAACAAACAAAAACCAGCAGTCCTCAATGACCCCTGCATCAGCTCCTGCCTGTTTTACATCATGCATATAATAAAATACACCCAAAGAACTGTATTTCAGAGCCTAGAATTTCTTCTGAGCTCTGTGTTTAAGAAAGGGAAACCACTAATGATATAAAGAACTTAGAAAAGAAAATAACATTGCCCTCAGCTCCAGTTGGCACTCTGGGGTCAATTTCAAATTCATGCTGTCTTCTCTCCTTTGTGTGCATGTGTACGGATGATGGGTATGGGTGCAAGTGCATGTGTGTACATGCATGTGCAGGCCAGAGCACAACCTCAGGTGTCCGTGCTCAGACATAGCTCGCCTCTTTTTGAGACAGTCACTGGCCTGAGAATCAGCAAGTAGGCTAGACTGGCCAGCAAGCCCCATGGACACATCTGTCTCTTCCTTCCCTGTCCTGGGATTACAAGCATACTCCAACACCCACACACCCACACACACCTTACTTTTAAAGATCTGAGTACGGAGGATCCAGCTCACTGAGGTCCTCGACCTTTACAACTGAGCTATTTCCCCAGTCTCCTGTCCTGAGTCTGCTGCAGTCTTGTGTCCCAAACATCTGCCAAGAACCCCTAGTCACCGCCTCTAAGGCAACACCTTCACTAGGGCAATGAAGAGAGCACGGCACTGTAGAGGCCACTTGAGAGAAAGGACAGAAAGGAGTTTCTGCTTATCCTCAGCTAACCAAAAGACTAAAGTAAAAAAGGTCTTACTGTAGTATAACGATGTCACACATATACTCTATAATTTAAAAACCTGCCAACCACATGCCCTGATACTTTTTAAATTCTTCCTTTAAATAAGTGACATTACCAGTTACACTGGCTATTGAGATCCCCTGACAGAAGGAAGCAACACAGGGAGAAATCTGGTTGGTAACTGTTGACCACACTTCTGGGTGGCAGAATATCAAAGAAATGGTCTACATACCAAGCCGTGGCATAACAGCTCCCAGAAACTGCTCATCTTCTTGGAAGTGGTTCTCTTGTAAAGATTCCAGCAATTTCTGCAAGACATCTTGGGGCACTTTGCAGCCTGTGCCTTTCAGTTCTGTAAACCTGGTTAGGCGGAAGCTCTTGTCCAACTCATAACTTTCCGGGTTAAAGGACTCCCGAGAAGACATGGTTCTGGGGCCACACTCTCCACGGTTCAGCCCCGCCCCTCCCTCTCTCTTGATCCACCGGCCTTTCTAGTTGTGATCCACCTAGGTACCGCCAAAACACAAAAAGTCACCGTTAAAAGACTCTGAACTGGTATTTGTCAAGAATCAAGTGAATGAATACCCATCAGAAAAAGGTACAAGGACCGGACTTGCCTAGACCACAGGGAAATACTGTGTCAGTCAAGCTGGAGTACCAGATGATGGACACCATCAGAGACACCTAGTGAAGACCCGATGGTGGGAGTGTGGTTATAATGGTGGCTCCGAGGGCGCGCTCATGTGACACCTGCCAAGTGGGCAGTTACTCTTCTGGGGTACAGGGCTAAGAGAACTGGTGTGTACTGTTTGTCAGACTGAAAGTTCTATGCTTTGGAAGGCAGACGTGCTAGCTACTGTGACTTTCCTGAAAAACTTCACACATAATAATAAAACAGCCACCAGAAACTGCAGAAAGCAGGACACAAATGCATCCCATGGATTTTTTTTTTTTTTTTTTTTTTTAAATCGAGACAGAGTCCCTCTACATAGTTCTGACTGTTCTGGAATTCACTATATAGACCAGACTGGCCTCACAGAGATGCACCTGCCTTTTCCTCCCAAGTGCTGGGATTAAAGGTGTCCACCACTATGCCCGACAAAATTCTTCAAGACATTAAATTCTGATTTTAAAAACAGGTTTCCTTCCCAACCAGACAACACAGTACCAAATAATGGGAGAAGTCACCGAAGGACACTACTTAAAAAACAAACAATGACAAACCCAAACACTTCCAATGGCTGTAAAACACAGTGAGGTCTGTGTTCAAGAGTGCTTTGCAAAGTTCTCTGATGTTTTTAGCATTCCTAGAAAGCAAACATCCCGCCAACAAACCAGTACACATACCACTGACAACAAACTACTGCTCATTACTAGCTCATTACAAAATGAAACAGTATCACACGAAATCACCAGTATTACGGTTCTGGGCACCACTCGCTGTATTTCTGGCACAAGCTCCTCTGTTTGCAGCCTTCCATCCAAATCAAAACTCAGTAAGTGCTCCCAGGGTTTACAAACTTTCTGACTGATGCTTTATTGGGCATAGGATTACATACACCCCAAGTTTTAGGATCGGTTTCTCCTATAAAATTTATGATCGAGATCATAATTCCCATTTACAGAGTTTTCCATCGCCCAGGAATCACTCATTTAAAATAAATTTCACAAAGCCCCAATTTGGGCAGTAATCCAAACTGTTGTTACAAACGTGACAGGAGCAATGATTTCAGCGGGAAACTACAGGCACAGACTTCCTACATCATTCAAACTTCTCGAAAGAGCGCTGCGAACCAAGCAAGTTACCAAGAGTGGGAATTTCGATGCTAGTTCGGAAAAAGTGGGAATTACAATTCAAACTCCCTCGCAAAAACCAACCAACCAAACAAACAAAAACTAGCATTTAACCCTGCCTCATCTCTACCAGGTAGAGAAACCGGAAAACCCTATTTGCATAAGGAATCTGTTTTCCTACCTCCAATCCTATGCCCTCAAGCCAAAGGAAGGAAAGGGATTCTGCAGAGTCCCTTTCTTTTTGCACGTTACATTTCTCAACACTTTCTGGCTAGAAAAGTTTAAAAACACATCGAGAAAACTCAGTTCTAAAACTCAAGTCGACGGAGACGTAAGTCACATGGGCTCATCCTCAGAGGAAACTCCAGCTATGCGGGGAGGATGAAACTGGGATGTGCTTTGGGGGAGCGCTAAGTCCAACCTGGAAGCCACATGTTTACACCTTTAAAACAATGACATGAATACTTAAAAAGATCGCGTTTAACCCCTTCGCTCCCGCGTGCGG